TCTAGAAGGGAAATTATTTGAACTGATATATTTCTTTTTTAAAAAAAAAAGATTTATTTATTTATGCATACAAGAACTGGGGTACAGGCCAGAGGTGTAGGGGTGAGAGGATTCACCAGAGACAGAGTGGGGAACAGAACAGGCAGAATGACTGAATTACACTGCTGAGGGGAGCAGCAGGTGAGTCAGGAGAGGTCTGCTGCTCCATGTGGGTTTGCTCCCTGGCTGGGGATTGACCTCATGCAGCAGTGGTAGCAAATAGCTTCATAGGCTGCATTTGAACCCCTTCCACCACCAGGGAGGTCTCTGAACTGACATAGTTCTTAGTGTGTTTTTCCTTCATTTGTGCATGTGTTTCCAAGAAACAAACAAACAAAAAAAAAAAAAGGGTTATGTTAGAAAGCAGTAGATTCCCCAATTAGGAGTTGGTATATTACCAATGGATTATTGTTTTTAAGCATATAGCCCAAACCAACTTTTAACATACAGAATCAGGGGAAAGAATTGACAATGTTTGAGACCAAAAAGGCTAAATGGCTATTAAAGAAATCTCATGGGCCTCCTTGGTGGTGCAAGGGTTAAAGTCTCAGCTCTATCAAGCTATCACCAGCCACTGCAGCATGAGTTCAATCCCTGGCCAGGGAGTTAACCCACATGGTGCAGCAGACCTCACCTGTCTTCCGCTGCACCCCTCAGCAATGTATTTCAGTCAATCCACCTGTTCTGCTTCCCACTCTGATGAATCTTCTCATCCCTCACACCTCTGCCCTGAACCCCAGTTCTTACATGCATAAGTAAATCTTTTAAAAAAATCACATGAAAGAATTAGATTGCTCCATAAACATGTTTTGATATAATCTATTGGGACTCAGTACTAAAAATATAAGAACTATAGGACTTTCTTCAATTATTCACTGTTAGATAATTGGTATAGTGTTTCTTTGCCTCCCCCATAAAAAAATGCCCCATAAACATGTTTTTGATATAGTCAATTGGGACTCAGTAGTAAAAAGGTAAGAACGATATCACTTTCTTCAATTATTCACTTAGATAATCAAGTATAGTGTCTCTCTGACTCCCCTTCCCCCCAAAAAAAGTTCACAAAAAATACTTCCCAGATGTTAACAGAATTATATCCTTTAGTAAAGAAAGAATTTAATAAATAAGAAAAAATAATAGATAACGGCATTCTGGGAAGGCAAAATATTTAGTATAAGAACAGACATGTTAATCATCCGAAATTACAGAAAAGCTGAAAGTAAATTCTATCAATGTGAAGAACAATAGGAATGATTGTGAACAAGCAAACAGAAAAATACATGGAATTATTTTTTGAAGTTGAGTTTCAATAAAATTTCTTTCTTGGTCCCAATCCCTTCAGAATAACCTCTGAAGGCAAAACCTCTAAACCAACATAGGGGAAACCAATCAAATGAATATTAAGGCACTTATTAAGATGCTTGTTAAGAAAAAAGAATCATCTTAAAATATTTGTAAAAGAACCTAAGAGAACTGGATAGAGACTGAAACAGTTTGAGATTATCAGAAAGACTTTTAAACTGCTCCACTTCTGCCCTAATCACTCCACCTCTGTCCCTATATATCCAAATCACTGGAAAATATAATAATTCTGGAACAGTTAATCTCTCAACAGTATGATCAAAGAAAGCTGGTCAAAAAGGTAAATACTTAGGTTTAAAATCTACCCATTCTTAAGCTAGGTTCTGTTTTTCCTGATTTAAATGGAGATATAATTCCAATTATGCATCACAGGATTAACATGAGGATCAAGTGAAGCAACACATAGCTAGATATGTCTGTGTGTGTATCTGAAAATGTTTAGTCATTGCATCTTACTTTCCTTGTATAACTAATATCAATCTCTAAATTTTATGCTAACATTCAACAGTTTACTATTGGCATTTTTTCCAACCAACTTTCAAAACAAGGCAGTAATCCTTTGCTCAGAATAAACCCACACCATGGAAACTTTGGCTGCTTTATTTGGATTGAAGGTCTGGCAAAATTCCACTCCAGGTGGCTAACCAGTAATAAACAAGGACTCACTGTTTCATCACATCCTCACTGACTCTGTGTATAAGTTTTTCTCCAAATTTAGTGACTTTTTAAATGCTGCTATATTTATCCCAGTTAAGAAACTATAAAATACTTAAATACTAAAACAAAGAACATTTTAAAAATTAAAATTCAAGATACCTGAAGAAAGCTACACTAAGGAGAACAAAATGCAGTATTAGGGTACATCAGTGCAAGACATTAAATCATGCTTCTCTATCCACTGGCCTAGTTCATACAAATTCTAGCTCTGAGGATGCAACGTCCAGACTTCTAAGAATTTCCCAGTATTCTATAATATTTTAATAAGATATACTTCTGCCTATTGTCTGCACTTTCTAAGATTAAACATACACACAGACAGTCATCAAATATTTGCTGAATAAAGACATATTTACTTATAACTATACTAGACAAATAAGCTACCTGATCAATGAACAGAAGTTGAAAATAAAAACTCCAGGAAATAATACATCATCATAGTGTGAAGGTTGAAACTTCACACATCAGTTTATGTTCAATTTGATTAAATCTTTCTATCAAGCTATAACATATACTATAACTCTTAAACTGTAAAATTCAGTAATTTTTAGAATAGTGACAAGGTTTTGCATCTATCCAATAACAGAGCATTTCCCCCAAAAGAAACTGTACACCCATTAGTAGTCATTCACCATTCACCAATTCCCCTCAGCTTCTGGCAACCACCAATCAATCTCCTTTGTAGTCTATGTTTGCCTATTTTAGAAATTTCATTAAAATTATACAATATGTGGCTTTTGTGAGTCTAACTGAATCCGACATTTTATTATGATATGGTTTCTCTCTTTTTTTTTAATCACAATATGATCAAGGCAACACACATCTCTATAGGGGAAATAAATTTTTTTTAAAAAACTCATAAAAAATAAACATATACACAGAGAAAGAGAATAGAAAATTGTATTGTGAGACCAATATAGAATAACACACATACTATATAAAAATATATATGAATACAACATTTTGACATGTTCACATTTTCCAAACTTAAATTATTATTACAAATGTGTTTACATGTACATTTAAAGAGAACACAAAAATATTCACCTGTTAGTAATAGTTAATCCTAGAAAATCGGACTAGAAAGGGTAAAGGAACACTACATTCATTTTTTTATTTAGTTTATTTTTATATATCAATTGCCTATTTAACAATAAGGATGTGCTACCTTTTGTAATATTTTAATCACCCATTGTTTAGTCATTTATGTATCATCAGTTCAGATTATTTTCTTTTGATAGGAAATAAAAAAACATTAAACGCAACACATTCATGTGTTAGTTTTTATTTATGCAAACTAAAGAGAAACTGAACGTGGCAGCAAATGCCAACAGGTTATATTTGGCTTGCAAACACATGTTAGATTTGTGAAGCATCTTTTCTCCAGAGGAACCATCCAAGTGGTATCATGAAAAGGCTAGGATGAAAAGTTTGCTGTATAATATCTAAATAGTAAAGATAATTGACATCACCTTTAGTATTTACATTTTACTGCATTATACCCAAACTAACAATCATTGTCACTCCCTGTGGAGTCCCTGTATTAAGGAACTGAGGGCAATCCCCATCCAACAGCCAGTGAGGAATTGAATCCTGTCAGGATGACTGAGTGAACTTGGAAGCACATCCTTCTCCAGTTGAGCTTTCAGATGATCACAACCCTGGCTAATACTTTGTATCTGGGAAAGAGACCCTGAGGCAGTGGCCCCCTAAACTACTGTCTGCCTTCTGACCTACAGCAACTGAGACAATAAACACGACATTTTGGGGTAAGGTTTAACACAGCAACAAAAAAACTAATATACATACAGTTTCCTCAAAGGAAAAAAAAAAACACACACACACACACTGACAGTACACATAGAACAAGGACTCTAAGAGAAAAAAGTATTGTGCCCCGGGGTTAAAGACAGTACTATCAAGGTATCAAGCTATTGCCAGCCACTGCAGCATGAGTTCAATCCCTGGCCGTCCACCCCAGGGAGCTACCCACATGACACTGTGGACCTCTCCTGTCTTGCCCGCTGCTCCCCTCAGCAGTGTATTTCAGTAGATCTGCCTGTTCTGCTCTCCACTCTCTCTGGTGAATCCTCTTACCCCCCACACCTCTGGCCTACACTCCAGTTCTTGATAAATAAATAAATAAATCTTTAAAATAAAATAAAAAAGAAAGGTACTATGAAAACAAAGATTTTTTTTTAATTTATTTTTTATTTATACAATAGCTGGGGTATAGGTCAGAGGCTCGGGAGGGTGAGAAGATTCACCAGAGACAGAGTGGGGCGCTGAACAGGCAGACGGACCAAAAGCACTGCTGAGGGGAGCAGCGGGCACGACAGGAGAGGTCTGCCATGCCATGTGGGAATCTCCCTGGCTGGCCAGGATTGAACCCACTGCGCTGCAGAGGCTGCAGACAACTTCACAGCACTGTGCTCAACCTGCTGCGCCACCGGAGAGACCCAAAGATTTTTTTAACTTAAAAAAAAGGGGGGGCAAGGGGTTAAGACGCAACCTATGAAGTTATCTGTAGCCAGAGTTCTGTAGCATGAGTTCAATCCCTGGCCTGGGAGCTACCCACATGGCGCAGCAGACCTCTCCTGACTTGCCTGCTGCTCCCCTCAGCAGTGTATTTCAGTAGATCTGCCTGTTCTGTTCCCCACTCTGTCTCTAGTCGTCTCACCTCCCACACCTCTGGCCTGTACCCCAGTTCTTATATGCATAAATAAATAAATCTTAAAAAAAAAAAAGACTGGAAAAATATCAAACCAAGTTTGCAATGCTCACACCTGAACTCCTTAGTGTACTCCCCAACAGGGGCTCTGCAGCCCATATGAAATATGCAAATCCAACAATGCTGTAAGCAGGAAAGGTTAGAATCATACCTTTTCCAAAATGAATTTGTTTAAATATGGCATGTAGCCCTGATTGGAGACGGGCCCCTCATCATCATCCCTGAAGTGCTCTTCAAGGGCTACAGGGTCATGTGGGACCTTCAGCACCGTGCACAGATTATGGGAAAGGACCTAAGGAAAAAAAAGAGAATAGATTAAAAGACATCCACTAACCAGACTTGGCACCTTCACTGTCTGAACACAGCTGGCTGCTACCTGCCCTGGAGAAAGATGGAGAGTACTGCTCAGCTGCCTGCTCCCCACTTGTCACCCATAATTCTCCCTTATTCCTCTCTCAGTTTTGGTTCACTTCAAACAAGTCTCTCACACATGGGCACAAAGAGCCAGGTGCTAAGCAATAGCTGTGAATTTAATAATACTTGTAGCTTTTTAGTTGGCCCACATTAGAAAGAAAATGGTGTAAAAAGCAAAATGACATGTTCAGAATTAAACTTCTCCCCAAATAGAGCAGTGTCAGTCAATTAGAAAGTAAGAGAAAAAACACCTGCAGCCAGGTGTTCTGGACAAAGTGGCTAACCAGGGCAGTCAGCCTTTCTGCATATTAGTTTTCTAATTTGTTGAATACTAAGGGTCACATTAATGCAAATAAAACAAATGTTAAATAGTAATCTCTAAGTGCCTAAACATCTCTAAAATTCCATGATTCTAGCCTAAATTTTCAATGTGAGCATAAAAGAGTACAAATACAAAAGAGAAAGAAATTGAGGGCCTGGTTTAGAAATATGATAAAATCAAGACCAAAAACAACTCAGAAGTCACCAAAATGGTTAAAAATGTTTTGCAGAAAATATGCTTTCCATATATAAAAGGTTACAAGCCTTGCAGATAACCTAAGCATATTTTAACATTGGTCTTTGAATTAGCAAGCTCAATACCAATCCTGTTTCACATTAAATAAAGAATATAAGTCGCTCCCATTTCACTTGTGCATTCTAGACAGGTCATATTACATAGCTAACGCTGTACTTTCTTCAGCAGAGAATCTTCTTAGATACTAAATCCTAGTTTAAAATTCTCCTTATTTTCCTCAGCCCTACCCATTTAACGACTTAGTTGAGCCAAATTCATCTCAACGAACACTTTCAGTTCCACTAAGCAAGTCACTTTTTCTGCACATACATATTTCTGTCAGGATTTTTTAAGACTGAAATTTTTTTCTATAAAAAGAACATTTGCATATCTTCTTTCTACATTTGTTTTGTTTCTCAAAGCTTCATTTATGTGAAGATCCTTTTCTACATGCTCTACTGATTTTAAGGAAGTAAGTAAGTAAAGGAAGTAAACTCACAAATGGTTATAAATGAAGTAATGAAGACTTTTATCAGCCCCTACAAAGCAGGCTGTGTTTCTCAAGCAAAACCCCTATTTGCCAGTTGTAAAGTACATGAAAAGAGCAGGGTTGGAGCTTTTATTGAAGAATCTTGTACCACAGTCAGCAAAATCCAAGATAATTTCTCTTTCTATTTACCTAGTAAAACCAATAGAAAAATCTACCTCCAAAGGCATTTTGTAAGGATCAACTTCAAGAATGTAAAGAGCTTAAAAAGTTGCAAGATACTACAGAAATATAAGGAGCATATTTGTCAGACAAGACTAAAAGGTCATTCAAAATTTGAAATCATTTGGGACTTTACCAAAGTAAAAATTCCCAGTCGCTGGTTAAATTATGGTACATCCATAAAATGTTAAAAACAACACAGAAGTCACTGTGTAGTGTGATATGAAAGTATCTCCAAGATAAATGAAGTGAAAAAAATACAGACCTAAGACCATATATAGTATACCACCTCTTATAAAAAAGGAAAAAAAATAAGAAACAACAGTGGAGGAAAGCCTAGTTTGATGACAGATGAGAAGCAAATGAAGACTTTTCTCTGAACTTCCCATGTTTTTATAATGTTTTGGGGAAAAAAAGTACCTATTCAAAAATGTACTACCCATTTTTAAAAACAAATGTAATATTTTTAAAAAGCGATGAGCCAATGATCACATAAATAAATCTAATTATCTTTAATGTCTTTTTCTTCCACATTAACACACTCCCTAGTTATATGGTATAAAAGGAGACATGTTCCACAGCAATGTACCACAATGAATGGACTAGTGAGTTTGAGGGCAATAATTATTGAGTCCAGAATGGAGAAACTGGGTGTTGCAGTGACTTCATAGAGGAAGTGAAATGCACCCAAAGTCTTAAAATAAGGATAGCTTTTGCACAGGAAAAAGAGCAATTGGAAGGCTTTCTAAACTGGGGAATAACATGAGAAAATAAATTGATTAATGAAAGTCCTCATGGGGGAAAAAAAGACACAAACCTCTCCCACTCCCATACCTTTTTGCTGTCTTTGGGCGTCACTAAAGTTCTGGCAGAGACCTTATATAATTAAGCAGTACTTTTGTTAAATATAGGGAGAGCTAAATTTAGTGATAACTTTCTTAACCACCTTTATGTAGTTAAGCAAACTGTGAGATAGCACAGTACAGTAACAAGGACCCTAGAGGAGGAGGCCTGAGCACCAGGCCTGCTTGTGTGGTCTGTTCCTGCTCAGTGGTTTGTCACTTAACCTTTTTTAACTTTTCATATTTTGCTACTTACTTAGCTCAGGATCCTCAATGTAAAATGAGGAGCTGGATTTGTCTCTAAAATTAAAACAAACAAAAAAACCCTTAAAACTCAATCCTTAGTAGATAGCTGAAAAGGTTTTGTTATTAAAAGAGAAAAAGTGAGCTTTTTAAAAAAAAAATTACCAGTGGTTTTTTTAAAAGCCTAGAGAGTATTTCAATTTTTTTAAATAAAAAACAAAATGTATAAAGAAACCAATATCTTAAAGGCCTAATATATACTAGTAAAAAGGAAAAGTTCTATAAGCTTCACACAGCATTTTATGCTTTTTAAGAGAGATTTTTATCTCCCATTAATCCATTTTAGCCTCAACCCTGGGAAGAGATGTAACTGCTAGTTTACACAGAAAGAGGGTGAGTCAGAAAAGAGGAGATGAGCACCAAATCCCAGATTTATGTGTAGTGAAACCGGTACTAGAACGCAAGCCTTAGGTTCCAGTAACAACTTTTCATACTGGGCCACCTTCTCTCTTTCTGGAAAAACAGATAGACCTGGGCCTACCTGGTGGCGCAAGGGGTTAACATACAACCTATGAAGCTATCCGCAGCCACTGCACCACAAGTTCGATCCCCGGCCAGGGGATCTTGTCTTGCCCGCTGTTCCCCTCAGCAGTGTACTTTGGTCAATCTGCCTGTTCTGTTCCCCACTCTGTCTCTGATGAATCCTCTCACCTCCCCACACTCTGGCTTGTACCCCAGCTCTTGTATGCATAAATAAATAAATCTTTAAAAAAAAAAAAAAACAGCCCTGCCTATACAAAAGTGAACCCATGGCCATGCATGTACTTGCTGCAAAGATGCAGTGATGAACTGGGGTGTCCCCACCCCTATTACAGTTCTCTAGCACCCAACAAGATGGCTGGCATAATTTAGCAGAACCAAGCTAAATTCAGTGGCAAAGATCTAGGTATGTCTAGAAATCTGGGGCTACTCTCCGAGAGCTCCTATCATCTACCACCCACCCACCTGTGGGGGAAACTTGTCCAGGAGACACTAGCCCCTTTCCAGATAAGGAGGCTTAAAAGCAGATCAGAACAAAAAGCAATCAGGAAGAAAGAGGACTGTGAGTTCTAGATTTGTAAAAAGACTGACCCTGAATCACTCTACTCAGGGTGTTTGCAAGTTTCTTAAAAGAGCTGAACTGATCCCACTTCAAATGTCTGCTCCTCCAAAGGTCATTCTTTTTGCACCCACATAATTGCTAAGCAACTCTGCTCTCATTCCCAATTTGAAGAATTAACTACTGTTACGACAATAAAAAGGTCCATATCCAGGCCAGAAACTCATCTCTCCAGTACCTTCATGGCTGTCTGCTACTGCTTCTGCAGGGCCTCGGCTGATAAGAGATGACTAACTAGCTGTAAGAGTCCTGCTCGTGTGGTCTGTTCTTGTTCAGTGGTTTGCCACTTATCCTTTTTAAGCATTTTGCCCCAACTACAATGAAAATGAAGTCAAGGATGACGAACAATAAACTGGTGTTTTAGCATAAGAGTGTCATGCTCATTCTCCTCCCTCCCAAGATACAGCAATTATAAAGGTTCTCTGAAATGTGCCTCTGTACTCACACACAGCTTCCCTTCACAGGATGTGCGTAATGGGCAAAGTTCAACACAGAAAGAAAGGGAGGTGGGGATTTCTATTCCAACAAGTTTATCTGAACCGACATAATCATAGAATTATGTTCATAAAGGGCAATCTTTTTTTTAAATATGAAAATTCCTGTCTGACTTATAAAATTTCAAGCTAATGGCAAGTTACCAGAAAACTCTTCCTAACAATGAACAAGAATGACCAATTTCCTACCGTGGGTATGCCCCCTCCTGAAGAGCATTGTCTTAAGAGAAGCCCTGCCCCTTACCACATGGAGTCATTTTCCTCCCTTTCCTGAAAATATCCTTTCTTCCTGCTTGTCACTGCTTAAGTCTTAGCTTGCTCTCTCTTCAATTACCTTTATCGGTATTCTGCCTCAAAATTCTCAATGTCATTACTGACAATGCCCTCTCAGGTTCTGAATGCAATCAATCACTATCCTAGACACTTTTACCAAATTAATCTTCTAGAGCTGCTTTTGTCACATTATAATTCCCTTGTCTAAAAATCATAATAGCCTACGGAAATAAAAAAAAAACCTCAAGTACCTGAGTTCAGAATTAAAGTCGCTACACAAGCCAGCTCCATTTTACCATTCTAGACTTATTTTTCCCTTCCCTTCAGCACCAAACAAATCCAGCCAAACAAGTTTATTCACTATAAACCAAACACTGTACCAATCCCCTTCCTCCTCCATATCCTTGCTCTAAGCTGCAGAACTAGTGCGCTTATGGTGACCAACGCAAGGAATGTTACTTTGGGCTGGTCAACCGCGGGTGTAACTTGGAAACCACGCTGGGCGCCAAACTGTTGTAGAGCAACCCCGATACAAAACGGGGTGCCTGACTGTGGGTCCTCACCCGCGCGCTTAAAAGGACTTATCAATGCTCTACTGCAGG